TCTGGCCTTCGACCGCAGAGTCGCGGCAGGGCTCCTGGGATCTGGACTCCGTGGCGGGAGCTCTGCATCTTGGAGTAATCATTTATTGGCCTTAATAATTAGAATAGGGGTTCCCTTTACAGGGGTCTGTGCGGGATGCTAGAAGGGATCTATAAGGGTGCAAGAATATAGGGGCCTTAATCATTAGAATAGGGTTTTGGGACCCTATGTACTACACTTACAGCAAGGAACCCACCACAATACTATCGGTAATTTGTTCGGCCTGTACAGTAGCATCAGCTTCGGTATTTGTCAGGGAGTAGCGTTTCGGGTTTAGGGTGTGCTAGCAACATTTTTCTGTAGTGTCAGCTCGTCGAAGAGAATTAGCATAGTTGTCGGGATCGTATGTGTCCTTAGCGAGAACCCATTTTGCTCGGTAGAGGGCGGCTTACATCTCAAACCGACAGCCCCTTGTCCTTGTCAGGCCTTCTGTAAGCCTGCGCCACACCCGCCAACCGAGGAACAGTGGCCGTATGGGTCTGTAAGTGCAGCGACTCTCGGCTACGAATGTGTTTTTCGACATTGGCGGAAGCATGAAGGGGCTTGTGAGTTCGTAGGCTGCGTTTCGCAGCACACAGCGGTTGCAGCTTCTTGGTTCAGCGAAGGAGGCTCCAACTGCTATTATCACGCAGTTCTTTGCATCCGCACATAGTTAGGTGCCTACACAGTTGGAGCCGGGTTTGGGATGGATCGTAGAAGTGAGCAGAGCTATGCGGGATGAGCAGAACCAAACCAGCTTTTCATCTTTTTTGTCGATGTGGGCCGTTCACTGTCTAAGGTTTCCCTACACCTAAGCCCCAAGGCGGCTACTCATCCTAGGCTCCGCTTCAGGCGTAAACGATCGGTTTCTGGAAAGCCGAAGCTACTTGCCCCTGGGTGCACGACAGGAAACATCGGTCTTCCATCTCCCCGAAAGGCTTGGGGTCCGGGTCCAGCCCCCAAGAAAGGCCCTAAACCAGTGCAGTGATGGGGTTACAACACGGGTTACGGACCCGCAACCCTAATCCCACGGAAGCCTCAGACAACTTCATGGCATCGTCCCTTCGGATCCCTTTCATCGAGACCTCCTACCAAGCCCTTCGGCCCCTGATATGTGAAACACGCAAACCGTCCCCTCCGGCAATTTTCTAGCCCATGCCCGACATCCGCAAGAAATCCACACGGGTCTCAGGGTTCGAGATGGGCAAAACAATTGAACATAGGAGGTGCGAAAGCCTTCCATGAAAGGATTCTGGAAACATCCCACCCAGGATCCCTGCCACATTCGGCCACAGCGAGTGCAAAGCCACGTCGATGCCTGGGCAACGTAAAAGTATAGAAGCACCAATTGTGCATACTTTACGATAAAAAGCCTATGTCTATGTTGTTACACCACGATGTGCTGCTGCTGCTGCTGCTGCTGCTGCTACTATACTACTACTACTACTACTACTACTACTACTACTACTACTACTACTACTACTACTACTACTACTACTACTACTACTACTACTACGACCTGCGACGACTACGATGACTACCAGGAGGACGATGACCCATAGATGAGTCAGTTTGTTTCAGTTCAGTGTGTGCGGAATCCGCTTCAGCAACAGATACGGGCCGTCTTTGTTCCTCAGGGATGTTCTTGAATCAGATGACGGATGCAAGAGTGTGGTTTTTGCTCTAAACCCTAAACCCCTAAACCCTAAACTCTGGACTATGTTTTAGTGAATCACGAATGGTCCTGATGCTCCTCGTCACCGTCGTCCTGAGCGGGAACTGTCCCAAATGAGGGTCGTTGATACTTGGAAGGTCGGGGGACTTAGTAACTGGTTATTTTAGGGACTTATAAGTACCATAACCCCAATTAGGGTCCCTTTCAGGGTACTTATAAGTCTACTTACTACCTACATACTAAGTCCCCCGACCCTCCAAGTATAAGCCCTAAAGAAAATGCCCGCCAGATAGGGCCCCGAGTCTAAGAAATCCTCATATCATCATCGTCGTCGTCTTCGTAATAATGATCCTATCAGCAGCAGCAGCGCCAGCACCCCTAGTTTCAGTAACGGATCATGAGACTAACGGACGGTATAGTAGCATCGCTGGCATGCTCATAAATACTTCCGGCCCCCTCTACTCCTACTCAGCCTTACAGCTATCCATGGAAACCCTAGCAGCTCTCAGAAACCCTACAGAGTCCCTGCAGCAACCCTAGCATAACCTTACGTATGACTACCCATGAACCTGGAAGTACTCAGAGAGCCCAATACCCCTTAATTAAGGAATATACCTTAAATTATGGTAGGATCCCTATTATGATTTAAGGAATATTCCTTAGTTAAGGGGTATTGGGCTCTCTGGGTATCCGATGGCCCAGGGAGCCGCAGTCCTTTTTTTGGGGAGAAGGCGAAGGCGCGCTTTGCACGCGGAGATGGTGCAGAAACCGCGGTTTAGGGCTTATCTGGGGATCAGCAAAGCTACTGGTTCAGGGGTTGGACTCAAACCCTAAACCCTAAACCGTGTAATGAAGAGGTACCAAAAGAGCATAGAAGCCCCTTAGCCCCCTTATCTGACAATGCAGGCACCTATCCCTTCCAGAACCCGCGTGGAGACCTTCAAGGAAGCCTTAGAATAACTCTTAGAAGAGCACCCAAAGCCTCAGTAATATGAGGGCCTAAATGATTACCTATACGATTTCAGGGGGTACGTATAGCATAACATACCCCCAAACCCGGACCCTATTCTACGTAATTATCAAGGCCCCCCTAGTATGAATTCTTCAGTTTTTTGTGTCGAAACGCTGGAGAAAGTACGAACCGAAACCAAGGTCAGCTTTTGCCGGTACTCCTCCTATTTCTTTGTTTTTACAGTGCTGGGGTATGTAGGGCTACAAGGAGACATCGCTCTTAAGCAACACGGCGCAGACAGGATCCCAAAACCAAGAGCTTCCGGCCCCCGACGCCTTACCCATCGAACCTGCCAGGTCTTTAGACCTACCCCCGAAAAGCCCTCCCTTCCCATTGAGCCTTCGACCTCATCCCTAAACCCTCATCCCTAAACCCTAAACCCTCATCCCAAAACCCGAAACCCTAAACCCTCATGCCTAAACCCTAAACCCTCATCCCTAAACCCGAAACCCTCATCCCTAAACCCTAAACCCTCATCCCAAAACCCGAAACCCTAAACCCTCATGCCTAAACCCTAAACCCTCATCCCTAAACCCGAAACCCTCATCCCTAAACCCTAAACCCTCATCCCAAAACCCGAAACCCTCATCCCTAAACCCTAAACCTTCATCCCTAAACCCTAGACCCTCATCCCTAAACCCTAACCCTCATCCCTGAACCCTAAACCCTCATCCCTAAACCCTAAACCCTCATCCCTGAACCCTAACCCTCATCCCTAAACCCTAAACCCTCATCCCTAAACCCTAAACCTTCATCCCTAAACCCTAGACCCGAAACTCGAGGCCCGAAGCCTCAAATTCTCGCCGTGCGTGGCCACCAGGTCCTGGCCGCACCAGAGATGACCTTCGAGCCTAGCCACTTTCTAAAGAAAAGGAGCGGGTGTGGCTTAAAGGGGTTTAGGGGTTTAGGGTTAAAGATTTAGGGCCTCATCGGGAAGATTGGGGGCTGTAGGGTTGCAGGCTGAGGTTTGTCACGAGTTCGGGAGGGGGTTTCGGAGGGCTTAAGGCCTTGAGGTCTCTTTTTTAAGGGCGGCGGAGATTTAGAGGTGTTTGGGCTGTGGGGCCGTTGTTCTCACAACCGCGGAATGGCTTGTGGGAGTCCAGGTTTCCGGTGTTCAGGATCAGCTTATGCAGAGGCTTAAGTAATTACCAACACTATTTTGGGGGCCCGTTGTTATAATTGTATTATGATGGGCCCAAAAACCGTATTCTGATGTTTAAGTCCCCCATATAAAACTCTAAACCCCAGGCCTTGTAACGTAGGTGCTTGATGGAATGAGGTATTGCGGTCGCTTGGATTGATCATCAAGTTCAGGCACTTCGCGGTGCATGTTCGGAGCTTCCGGGGCCATGTTGCTGAGGCGGAACTACCGCCTGTTGGGGCAGGGCAAAGAGGGCATTGTTGTGCTTGGAAGGCAAGCACTTCGCTATCAATTGCAGCTCTCCTTGAGAATCCCTTGGGCCATTTGCTAAAGGTGCAAGGGCGTGGAAGTCGCGCTGAAAAGGACAGACTGGGCCCAGAGTGAAGCGGAAATGCTGCGTCGTGTGCAGTGCGAGCATGCCACTCAGACGCACTGCGCAAAGCTGGCCCCAAAGCTTTACCGAATTGGGATCCGTGCAAGGAACCCCTGGTTCTGAATCAAGCCCTGCACCAGACTCGCTAGACCTTTGATCTTACCCACCCGAAGCCTTAAACCACCAAGCCCTCAACCCCCTGGACTCTTGACCCCAATCCCTAAACCCCAACACGCCCCAACCCCTTGAGCATCTCCAAGACTCTTGATTGTGGGTTTTTCTCAAGGATCCCGACTATCCTAAACCTCAAGCCTTGAGCCCTCAACCCTGAACCCCAAACCCTAAATTCGAAACTACACCCTAAACCCTAAGCCCAAACCCTAAACCCTAAACCCTAACCCCTAAACCCTAAACCCTAAACCCTAAACCCTAAGCCCAAACCCTGAACCCTAAACCCGGTAAGGACTACTTGGATGTTCATGGGTAGTTATAAATGGGGTTATAAGTCCCCTAATAGGGGTTATAGCCATAGTTGCCGTAATTATAACCCCACTTATAACTACCAACGGAACCTCCAAGTAGACCCTAAACCCTATACCCTCATAGAATCCCTATAGATCCCTTTAAAGGGGCCCTTAAGGGAACCCATATATCTACCAACGGAACCTCCAAGTATTCCTCAACCGAAAAAATCTCTCGGCTCTTTTCTTTTGTGGCTCAGGGCCGGTCGCGGACGGCTGAAGTCGGGGTCGTAGTTAGCTCTTAAAGGGGATCCGACGCCATGGCATCGAGGCAGGACCCACAGACTCCAAGATCCCTTGATTAAGGAAGATACCCTTAAAGTAGAGTAAGATCCCTAATATGGGTTAAGGATTCCTTAATTAAGGGATGTACCTTACATGAGAGTAAGATCCCTAGTATGATTTAAGGTCTATCCCTTAATTACGGGATATACCTTAAATTGTAGCAAGATCCCTAATATGATTTAAGGTATGTTCCTTTATTGAGGGATATTCCTAAGCCCTAAACCCTAAACCCTAAAGAAGAGGACGGAAAGGGAAGAAGGCGGCGGGATGAAGAGGGGCGGAAACCAGGAGATGCCTTTGGGAAGCTCTGCCTGCTTCGGCCGGGGCCGAGTGAGGCGAACTTTCAACTGTGCTAGAAATTCAACCGGCAGACGCTTTTCGAGGCAAGGGCTTCGGAGTAGAGTCGGTGTAGATGGAGGGTTGACGTGAGGTTTGGAGTAATCTATTCTGTCTACAGGCGCTGTTCAGCATCAAGTTTGCAGAATCCCGTAAACCCCAAGCTTTCCCTAAACCCGAAACCGTCAGAATCCTCGGAACTGAACTATCCAAGCCGATGAGTCTAAGCCTCCGGATTTTCAAGCCTTTTTGTGTGCGAACTGCTCTGCAGAGCCAACCCCCAACCCTGAAGCCCCCGGTCCTGAACTCTGAACCCAAACACCGCCCGTGAACCTGCAAGCTCTCTGCTCTCTCGGAGGTCCACTGCAACTATGGGAATGGCTATGGGCGCAATCGGCGCAGCCTCCTTGATGGCCCCAGCTCTCCAGGCAAATCGCATAGAGATGATAACATCCGTTCATCCATTCATCCATTCATACATTCATACATTCTCGCATTCATACATTCATACACCCATACACTCATACACTCATACCTGCATACGTGCATACTTGCATGCGTGCATAGGTGCATACGTGCATACATGCATACCTGCGCACATGCATGTTTGGCATGCATAGGCGCGTACATCGATGCAGATGTGTGCGTACAAGTACTTCATATATGTATGTAGTTGGTATTCAGGCACTCGCATGTCTGCCCGGTTCAGGGTTCTGATTCTCTGATTTTCAGACCCTTTCCCGAACCTCAAGCCCCAGCGAGGAGCTATCTCGAAGCCCCAGATTGCAGGCCCAGATTGCACACAACAAGTCCCTAAGCCCTAAGCCTAAACCTAACGCAAAACTTGCCAGCCACGAATATGTATATATATATATATATATATGTATGTATATATATATATTATATATATATATATATATATATATATATATATATATATATATATATATATATATATATATATATATATATATATATATATATATCCATATCCATATCCATATGTATATGTATATATATATATGCACACGTACATGTCTCTCTCTCTCTCTCTCGCATGCGGATATCTTGTGAGAATCCTAGCTCCCGAACTTACCGACAAAATGCAAATCCTTAACCCGAAGCCTCCTTCGAACCCTAAACCCTTAATCATTTCTTCCAAAACCTCTAAAACCCTTAAGCCCTTAAGCCTTGAAGCTTTGAAACCCCTATATAAACCCTAAAACCCTCCCTAAACCCCAAAACCCTAAAACCGTACACCCCCAAACCCTAAACCCTAAACCATCAAAGCCCTAAAACCCAAAGCCCAAAAGCCCCCGAGGCCTTCGTGGCACCCTCCGCGGCACCTGCGGCGCCCCAGCTCCGGGGAGCGACCGAGGCCTTGCCACGAGGTTTCTTTGGGTTTGGGGTTTTCTTTGAAAAAAAAATTTAGAGGCTTTAGGGATTAGGTTTTGGGGTCTCTCAAAAAAGGGTTCTAAAAGGGTTTAGGGCTTAGGGATTGGGGTTCTACGAGGGTTTAGGGTTTGGGGCCTCGGGTATAGGGTTCTAGATTGGGGGTTTTGGGTTGAAAAGTCTTAAACGGATACTATAGCGATCTTGAAAAAGGGATGTGAAAGGGTACTATAGGGATCCTCAAACAGGTTCCATAAAGGCACGGGAGGGTTTCTTTAAAAGGGTTCTGAAAGGGTACTGTAGAGATCTATAAGGGATTACGGTTCAAAGTGTGGGTTCAGGGTTTCAGGGTTCGGTGTTTAATGACTGTCGGGTTGCGGGGTTTCCGGGTGTCAGGGGCCTCCAAGATCCGCAGCGCCCCCAAGGAAGACTCCTTAACCCGAGGATTCTAGGGTGTAGGGTTGTCTAGGGTTTGGGCTTTAGGGGTTCAGGGGGTATGGGTGTAAGGCTCTAGGATCCTGCATAGAAAGCCTGATAAGCCTAGGTCCCCAGCCTTTAGTCTCAACTTGGCTCGTGGCTTTCTCAGTCTGCCGAAAAAGCTGCAGGGCCGGTGAGCCCAGACAGCTTAAGAGCTGTAAGGGCCATTAAACATTAGAATAGGTTTTTTGGGGGGTTCCTTGTTGTGATAGTCTAATACAATGCCAAACCCTATTCTAATTATCGAGGCACCTGCGCTAAGCCACAAGATCGGGCGAGCTACCAGTTGAGCCAACTGGAAGCCCAAAGCCACCTATAGACTCCAATATCCCTTAATTCAGGAATATACCTTAAATTATAGCAAGATCCTGAAAAAATGATTTAAGGCATATTCCTTGATTAAGGGATATTGGAGTATCTGGGCAACAAAGCCCGAGGCCCATCTAAAGCCACAAACTCTTAAACCCCAAACCATAGCCCTACTATGGGGGCATCAACAATCACCAATCCTATTTTGGGGGTTCCTTGTTATATATATATATGTATATACATATATATACATATATATATATATAGAGAGAGAGAGAGAGAGAGAGAGAGAGAGAGAGAGAGAGAGAGAGAGAGAGAGAGAGAGAGAGAATAATGGGCCCCCAGACCCAATTCTAGTGATAAATGCTCTATATTGCACCTTAAGACGCTGAAAAGCTTAAAGCCCTTGAACCCGGAAACCCTTGAACCCCTAAACCTTCGGGAGGTGGCTGAGAAGACCAATGCACGTAGCCAGGTGCGTCGGCCAGCTCCGTTTTGGAATTTCCAAGTGTTTGGGCTCCTTCAAAGGAACCTGTAAGCGACCCTAAACCCTAAACCCTAAACCGATGGACTCCGGAGAAGGGGGCCCTAATGAAGGTAGCCTTAAGGGTGCCACAAAGGATTGCTGTAGGAGTTCGAAAGAGGGATCCTTCACAGGTTTCTACGGAGGGTTCCCTTCCGTGTTCCATAGATCCCCTAAACCCTAAAACCTAAACTGTTCCTTCTCGGCTTTTCTTGCTTTAGCATGTGGGAGTTTCCGAAAATTAGGGGTACCCTATTTGGGGGTCCTTATAATCAGGATCCAACTATTCAGGGTACTATATTAGGGTCCCCTATTTTGGGAAACTCCCATGTGGTGGGCTTCACCAGGAGAGCCCTGCCTGGGCCTTCTTGTGTTTGGTGATTTCGGGGTTGGTGGCTTGAGGAAAGTAGATGAAGCTCCCAAGCATTAGCTCCTAAAGTAGGGTCCTACACTTTACGGTATGCGCTTTCAAATTTTCGTTTCAAGACGGTTTTCGGGGTTCCGCGTGGTTGCATTTCGGGCTTGAGCTTCGTTGCCGGGCTTTGCAGCGTTGGGTGCTCCAGATGTCACCGAAGCCTTAGACCTTAAACACTACGCCCTCAATCCTAACCTCGAGAGTCAGAAACCTCAAAGCCTTAAGTCTTAAGTATCTCGCAGCCCCGAGCCTCACAGATCAGGTCTAAAGTCTGAACCAGCTTGCAACCTTCAGGGTCGACATCTCCTCATATGGGGTTCCCGAAAGTACAATATGCCACGGAAACAAGATCATGATCAGTAAGGCCCAAAACTGAGGGCCAGTCCTGATCAAGCAACTCAGGGTCTTCGAGCCCAAAACAACAGGACCAAAGTTTTCATCCCAAGATGATTCTGCTTAATGCCTGGGCCAGCATGGAACCCGCAACGAACAGTATAACTGTATAATTACGCATGTTGTCGTTTTATGAAAGCTTCGCTTTGCCACACAAACCCGATCCGGGACAAGCGCAAGCTTCAGTTCATGCCTGAGCACCCAGAGACTCCAATATCCCTTAATTAAGGAATATACCTTAAATTATAGTAGGATTCTTAATATAATTTAAGGTATATTCCCTAATTAAGGGATATTGGAGTCTCTGAGCAGCATGTTCAAGTTCGGCGTGAGGGTGTTCATGCAGCCCCGGCGCTAGAGCTAAGCCTGCTAAATGGGAGTTTCCAATATTGAGGGGTACCTTTTTTAGGGGTCTTTATAACAAGGATCCTACTATTTAAGGTCCATATTAGGGTCCCCTGTTTTCGGAAACCCCCAAATGCTAAGCCTTCAAGCGCCGAAAGCCGACTGCCCATTGTGGAGGCAGTAGCAGCCACAGCAGTTGCATCTGCAGCCTTAGCGCCTGGGCTGAAGACATTTTCTAAACCACATTTCTCAAAGGTGTCAGTGTTACGTCGAGACGACGAACAGGACTTGTGTCGGTTAGAAACTGTAGCGTGCCGGAATCAGTGCGATGAAGGGCTGGTTTAGTGGCACTTTCAGCTAGGGCTTGCAGGTTTTGGGGTGTACTCCGTTGCCGAGATGGTGGCAATACTTTGCTTGGGGTTCTATTCAGTCGTGCTTGTAGGTAGAGGCTTGCAAGCAAAGGTTAATGGCCCGACCTGAAACCTGATTCTTAACGGCTTGGCGAGGCTCGCACCCTTTGCACGTTCGAGCCTGAAGATGCAGCAGTGCTGCCACGCAATGATATCCGGGATACAGATGGAGACCATAACCATGAATCCTGAATCCCTTGCAAGGCTGAAAACCGCACCCTAGATCCTAAAACCCTCAAACCTAAATCCCAGAACCTAGACGACGAGGCCGAAATCCTACACCGCCAAGTCCACGTGCGCAACCCCAACCCCCGAATCCGAAACGCTTTTACACTAAACCGCACGGTTTGAACTCGACAGTCCTTATCAGCATGTATAAGCCTTTGGCTCAATATCAAACAGATAAACCTAGAGCACTTATAGAACCCATATATAACTCTTATAGAGCCCTTGTAGAAACCCTAACCCGAATCCCTAAACCCCCTGAACCTCAAGCTCTAAACCCTACCCCTAAGCCCTAAACCTTACACCCTAAACCTGAAGTCCTCAACCTTAAACCCTAAAACCCCACTCCCTAAACCATACTTGGGGGGTCGGGGGACTTAGTAAGTAGGTAGTAAGTAGACTTATAAGTACCCGAAAAGGGACCCTGATTGGGGCTATGGTACTTATAAGTCCCTAAAATAACCAGTTACTAAGTCCCCCGACCCTCCAAGTAAGCCCGAAATCCCCTTTTTGAGGCGCTCGCTTCCAGCGGTCGCCGTGCCGGTCGCGGGGCGGCAGTCGCCCGAAGGGCAGAGGCAGCTGCGGTGTCAGCTTTTATCTTATTGTATTCTTTTTGGAGTTAGTTAGATGTTGAATATGACTAATGGGAGTCATTTTTTGATAATATTTTTTTTGGTGACAAATTAGATTACTGGGAGCGGGGGGAGGGTTGGGGACTTGGGGTTTAGGATCATTTTCTGGCTCTTGGTGGCGTGGACTGTTTGATTTGGTTCGCTTGGCGCTAGAAGAACCTACGTGCAGAGATGTTAGATTCAGATGCTACTTGTAAGTAAGAGGCTGGTTGAATCCGCAAGTAGCTCGATGGGACCAGTCATATTCACGGTTAGAGCATGGCATCTGTGAGAAATAGTATTGGCAAGCAGGGCATGATACGGATTACCCTGATCATGACGAAGTCGGTGGAAATGCCGCCGGATGTCTTAAACCCAAAACTCCAAACAGCCCTGAAAAGAGATATTGAACCCCAAAACTAACCGTTATCCCTCGGAGCCCTTTACCCAAAAGCCCTTCAAAGCCCATATGAAGCGCGAGGCCACGGGCGCAACGACGGAGAAGCCATTCGCAGGCGGCCTCATCGGCGGAGAGTCTGCATTCGCTGGGCAGGCAGGTTTCGGTTTATTGTTTTTGGTTTAATAGGGTTTTCAGTGTTGTTGGTTGAGTGGTTCTAAAGGGATTCTATACGGCACGGGGATGTTTCAACTCACGGGGTTTTGCATCGCTTTTTCAGAGGGTTTATAGTACATCACAAGGTATCGCATAGGTATGTGTGTTTTCATTGAAAGCTGGGATGCTTCTTTGAGGATCAGAAACAAGGGTGCTAGACATTTTGGGTCTATATGATGAAGGGATTCCATGGTTCTGGAACTGCAAGGTGTGACAAAAAAACCCAAAGCCCAAAAGCACTAAACCCCTAAACCCTAAACCCTAAACCCCAAACCCTAAACCCTAAACCCCTAAACCCAAAAGCCCTAAACCGTGCATTTTCTGGTCGCGACCGTAGCACTCATGCCTCGAAGGAGGAGGATGCTGAGTTCCGTGGTTTGATCAAGCCTCTGAGCCCGGCTACACCCCAGGGAGCTTCTAAGACCCTCACAATGCCTTACAAGATGTTATCAAAAAGGTCTAAAGACTTTTGAATTAGCATTTAAAGCTTCAATAGTGAACTTCGCGATTCCGACAGGACTTCAACTTCGATCCCCTGGGCCTTTCAGTGAAGTGCGAGAAGCCAAGGGCTCAGACAGGGTTTGCTTCGAGTTTGTTGGGCTGGGTGGGCGGTTTGGGGTTTGGGGTGGGGTTTGGTGGGTGGGCTGTGTAGGAGTGTTGGTTTGAATAAGCTTAAGGGTTTGAGGTTGGATGGGTTTGGGGTTGACCTTTGATGTGTGTGTGTGTGTGTGTGTGTGCGTGTGAATATCGTTTTTTGCTTGCTCCCTGGTGACCAGAAGTGCGTAACCGCAGCTCTGCAGACGCCATGCCACAACGCACAAGAGAGTGCCTTAATTTGACGCAACACCCGCGCCCCTCCTTGCCATCACCGCCCCCACTTCTGCACTTCTGAGCGTCCCCAAGGCCCACGCCCTGAACCCTGATGAAGGGCTTAGTATGGAGTCTTACTAGTTAATATTTTGTAGTATAGTGCATCTCACGCCCCCGTATGAGGATGGAACTTACATGTTGATATTGCAGGGATCATGTCTCTCTGTCGCTTTTGGGTGAGAACGCAAGGCACAGAAATCGTTGTAACAGCTTGCGCAGCAGTCCGAGCTTTGGGGAACCCGTAGATTGCTCTGGGATTGCTGCCGCAGCCGGGTTCGGTGTCGGTTTTCCGTGGGAACCCTTAACAAAAGCAACACTCCCAGCTCAGAAGCCCTAAACTGTCGGCTTCTCAGTAGGGAACGAAGGCATGAATCTCTATAGTAGCCCCTATAGGCCAGACTAGTCCCCATAACCACTTCCACCATTCCCTACTAAGAACCAGAAGCCGTAAATCATAGAACCGCAATCGCGAAGCCTGTCCTCCCTCTCCACCCTGTCTCCGAAGTCCTTAATCCGCAACCCTCACCGCAAGACCCCTCTTGGAGGTTCATGGGTAGTTATACATGGGGTTATAAGTCCCCTAATAGGGGTTATAACCATAGCTACCCTAATTATAGACCCACATATAACTACCCATGAACCTCCAAGTAGTCCCTGCCTCTCGCCCCTACACTTCATCCCTAGGCCCCCGGGTACCCAAAACCCTGCAACCCGGATCACCCCAAAAGACGCCTCCTCTCAAGGTACCTCCCCTGGTTCCGCGAGGCTCTGCTCCGGGGTTCTTAGGGCTTTTTGTCGGGGGCTGTGTTCTTTCGTGGTTGCGGATGGAGTCAAAGCATCGCATTCCCAAAATTCGAAAAGGCATGCTAGTGTGGAGGTTATGGGATTTAGGGTTTAGGGCCACTCCCTACCAGCAGCATTTACAACAAGCCTACCCTTAAAGCGGTGGATTTTGGGGCTACAGCCCGAACTGATTAGAGCAAGCTTTTTGAGGACTGTCTGGTTGGTTTAAGCTTTCAGGGTTTAGGGTTTTAGGGTTGGGGGTTTTAGGTTTAGAGTTAGGGCTTGGGGTTTTAGGGTTTGGGGTTTAGGGTTTAGAGTTAGGGTTTTAGGGTTGAGGTCGTTTCGACGACCCTACTCGTGTCCGAGAATTTCCACCCTGACTCCCAAGACCTGAAGACACCGGTCAGACGCCAGGGTGCCCGGAAGACTCTTATGCCATGCCCAGAGATTCCAATATCCCTGTATAATTTAAGGAATATTCCTTAAATCATATTAATAATTTAAGGAATATTCCTTAAATCCCATTAAGGATCCTACTATCATTTCAGGTATAGTCCTTAATTAAGGGATATCGGAGTCTCTGGGTGCTATGCCAGCCGTCAACTCGTCAACCCTCGACCCCCCAGAGACTCCAGTATCCCTGAATTAGGGAATATACCTCGAAGTTATAGTAGGATCCTTAATAGGATCTAAAAATTATAGTGGGATCCCTAATTTGATTTAAGGAATATTCCTCAATTTTGAGGGGTATGGGGCTCTCTGGGCTAAGCTTTTGAGTCGAAACGCACAGACTCCAAGGTCCCTTAATCAAGGGAATAGTGCTTAAATCCTCTAGGGATCCTGCTATAATTGAAGGTAGATTCCTTAATTAAGGAATAGTCCTTAACTCCTTTTTTGGGGATCCTACTATAACTTATGGTATATTCCTTAATTAAGGGATATTGGAGTCTCTAGGAAGCCTCCAGCATAATAGCCTCAATGCCAAAACCTCTCGATTTTAACACCTCGCTACTAGGCCTTCAACCTAACACCTTGAAACCCCACACAGCCCGACAGCTGTCACACCGAAGACCCAGACATGCACCCGAAGCATCAAACCCTAAAGCCCCAAAGCCCCGCAGCTCGAAACCCGTACAGTAAACCCCATCAAGTTGGAAACCGGATTAAGGCCAAATAGTGCTGGGATTCCCTATACATTACTCTTAAGGATTGAGGCTACTGGGTTTCCATCTTTTGGATTTCTACTATAATCCCTACCCTAAACCCTAAACACTTATGGTACCTTATAGATTCCTTAAAGGAGCCATTATAGATCCCTTAAAGGAGCCATTATAGATCCGTTATGGCACCGTCATGAAGGCTTCAGACTTCTGAACCCTCGGAAAGGCCCTGGTAAAGCCTCCCTAAAGCCCTGGTATCCCAAACCCTAAGCTTTCCCCAAGGCCCTGGTATCCCAAGCCCCAAACTTTCCTTAACCCTGCATTTTCCCCAACCCTACACTGAGCCTTTAAACGCCCCTTCTTTGTTTGTGCTACTTCCACACGCGTTGTAGCTTCTCTGAGCATAGTTGCTCTTAGAGTCTAGGGTACTGGATACAGACGCCCCTTATCTAAAAATCCGACACCTTCCTTCGGAGGCAGAGCTGCGACTGGGACGTTCTTAAGCTTTTTCTTTCGATCGGGGCTTCCGGTGTTCGGGGGTCTTCTAAAGGGTTTCTTTTCAAAGGGTTCCTTTTTTAAGGGGACCTTATGGGCTCCTTTAAGGGTTCCTTTAGGGGTACCTCTATGGATCCCTTTCCAGGGTTCCTTTGAAAGGGTTCCTTTGCGATGTTTTTCAACGGTTTCTTCTCAAAGTTTTCTTGTAGGGGTTCTTACAGGGCTCAGAGCTGCGAGGGGTCCGGATTTTGGCTTTTGGGGTTTAAGGATTATAGGGTGTAGGGTTCAGAGTTTAGGGATTAGGGTGTAGGGCTTTTGGGTTGGGCCAAGCCGCTCCAGGTATACTGTAAGTCGTTGCATGGGGGCATTTCTGTGCGGCGGACTGGTACGCCTTCGCGAAGGTCTTTGCCAACCCGTGGGGCAAGGCCGTCGCGGATTTCAGGGGCGAAGTCCGAACATCCTGTGAAGTGTTGTCCGTTCATACGAAAGTGTTGTGGCTTGTTTCCGTACATGTTCCCCCAGACGAATAGCGTGACCCTCTGACGTCTGCGCGCGGGCGTAAACAGTACGCAACGCGAACCTTGTTTGCTCATGCCATGCGCGACGCATCGACCAACTCCCGTAGTCGACCATAAACCTATGAGAGTGGGATTTAAGACTGTTTTTAAAGTAAGGATTTTGCTCGAGCATGTTGGGTTGAAGGTTTCATAGCTTAAGGGGGTCTCTAAACCTAAGCCGTAAACCATAATCTGTAGTGAATCCCAAACAAAGCCCTAAGCGCCATCCAAGGAAGCACGGTAGGATCGCCATGTTGGCCTTCGTCGGCCTCGTTGTGCCGGAGGTCGTGCGCATCCCAGGCCCGCGCGGTGGTGGTGGTGGGGGGGTCGTTCGGGTTCTAAGTTCGTTGATTATTCACTCGTAGTTACTACTAACTCAATCATCATAATCTTAACGTATGTGTATTATCGGTTGGTATCTAACAAGAGTTCATTCACTATCACTACTACTATCACTACTACTACTACTACTACTACTACTACTACTACTACTACTACTACTACTACTACTACTACTACTACTACTACTACTAGGACGACGATGACGACGACGACGCTGCTTTAAGTTTCGGCACTTTCGCTAAAGGTTTGGCTGTTCGCACGTTGTCGCGAGGCCCGGATGCCTGCTATGCAGCCAAGACCGTCGTGGATGCCTCCAGCTTAGTGCTGGTTGGTTTAGGGTTCAGGGTGCAGGGTGTACAGTTTCTGTCCGGGTCCTGTTCGGGCTCAGGGTTGGTTTGTTGTGACGGTTCAGGATTTTAGGATTCCCTTCTTCACGGCCCTTTCACAGGCAACTTAAGGCCAGCCGAAAGACTTTATACCACCCCGCACCCGCAACCATACGACTCTTATTCTAGTAGGAACTCTGGGGGTAACTTGCTTTGATCTGTCACAAGGGGCGCTAGGGTCATCCAAAAGAGAGTATATTTACATGTCAGAAGCTGCCCCCAGCCTGTAATAGTGGTATAATAGGAACATAATAGGGCCCTAATGTAATCCTATCCTTAGAGTCACTATTACAGGGTGGGGGCTCCTTCTAACTTACATGGTAGCTTTTTTGAAAGATCGAGCGGAGCACCAACTGCCCGCTATGAATATTACATGGGTACCTTCACCCACTAATACGGCAGCTTGAATAGCCCACCAACATAGTTTCTTAAATGTTCTTCATTAATGACTTATAGTCATGAATACCACCAAAACGCTATTCTAACCAATGCCCTTAAAGACCGAGGCCCACAACGCTTGCGTCGGCAACCCGCCTTTCCCATTCCTCGTGAATGCAGAGGAGCAGATTCAGCTTCGGTGGGCCTTTCGGGGCCTGAAGAAGTCTTAAGGCCCCTCTACTATAGCACGCGTCTTCGATCCCCTTCTGGACCCCTTTAAAAGGAACCCTTTAAAGGAACCCAAGCCTAAGAATTAGAGTGGCATTTTCGAGGTTGAGTGTACATGTATGATGAGATTATAAGGTTCTCAAGGACCTCAGGGACTACCATAGTGGCAAATTTTTAGGCAAAGCGGTTGCGAGGTTTTTGCCCTTCAACTCCAGCCGGAGCCTGAAATCCGCGACAGAAGTTGCTATAGGAAAGCTTTCGAGCACCGACGTCAAGAGTGCAAAAGGCTCGATCTCTACGTCCTGCTTCTTAAACCCCAAACCTCATCCTTGAATAATAAAACGCTAGATGTTGAGCCTAAAAGAGCCGAACAGCTTCAAACCCTAACCCTAAACCCTTAAACCCTAAACCCTTAAACCCTAAACCCTTAAGCCCTTAATCCCTAAACCCTTAAACCCTAAACCCTTAATCCCTAATCCCTAAACCCGTAAACCCTAAACCCTTAAACCCTATACCCTAAACCCTACTTCAAGTCCTCTCGCTGAGTTGCCTCGGCAGGATTTCTTCGGCACCGACAGACAGCAGGGGCCGCTCTTCCAGGCGGGTTTTTGGGGGGTGGTGGGACGTTTTTTGTCTTTTTAAGAGGGTGGGAGTTTATATACATATATATATATGGGTTTTCAGGACATAGATGGTGTTCGTCTGGTTCAGAAGGAATCAGTGAGGTTTTGCAATAGGATCTTGTGTTGCAGGGTTATGAGGCGTCCCTGGTTTAAGGACCCTGAATAATCAGCAATAGCCCTTCAAAACGATCCCGACATCTTCCGCGAGCCCCTTAACTTATAGATCTCGCTTAACGGGGCCTGCAAAGGGACCTTAGGCGGCGGATTATCAACCCTGGGCCGTTTGTTTACATTACCCTTAACCATAAAACTCCTACCCTAAACACTAAACCCTAGACCCTTAACCCTGAAACTCCGACCCTCGGATTTTCGACGTGGGGACGGCTTCACTGCTGATAACCCAAAGCTCCCGGAGCCCTAGTTTGGCGCCTTGGGGTTAGTGTTTTTTTGGGCAGGCTGGCAGAACTCTCCGAGTGCACGCGTGCCTTGCAAAGTCTGAAAAGAGCTACGTAGCCGAGGGTTTAGGGTTTAGGGCTTAGGGTTTAGAGTTTCTAGGTTCTTGGGTAGTACCCTTTTGCCCTTTTTCTTTCAGAGTCTCCTTCTTAAGGCAGAATCCTACGAAAAAGGGTACTTTTATTACAAAGGGCTTAGTTTAGCGTGAACCTCAAGCCCAAATGATCCCAAGACAGGTCTATGCCTTCGCCGGCGTTGTCGAGATGCTGACCACCTTCGCCAAGGCTTTCCCAGGGTCCTCATCGCTTTCGCTTGGTTGAGGGGTTTGAAGTTTGGGGTGCAGGGCTTGGGGGGAATCCGAGCCTCGTTCACGGTTTCGGTTTCAGGGTAAGCCCTGTACTGTGGGGCTTGTAGGGAGGTCTGATTTGGATCCTTCACTACCAAGTTCCCATGAGGCCCTCCCATTTTTGGTTCGCGTTAAAGCTGAGGGCTTGGGGTTTGAATAGGAAGCTCTGAACCCTGAAACTCTCAGGATTTACTCTAGACGAAGGTCTCAGTCGCCGCAGCTCACCACAAAAGCTGGTGTAGACCTGGAACACGGAGTCGCAAGGCGTTGAACCGCAAACCCCAAACCCTGAGCATTGAAGCCTTAGACCCTTCAACTGCCCCAAACCATGGACCCCTGAACCTGGGTTTAGGGTTTAGGGTTTAGGGTTTAGGGTTTAGGGTTTAGGGTTTAGTAAACCCTGGACCTTTGGTGTGTGGGTGGGCTTGGGTCTTCAGCCGTTGAGTGCGCCACAGGGGTCTCGCTAAGACACGTCCACGCAGAAGCCCAAAATCACACCTGGTGCCCGGGAGACGGCGGGTGAATAAGGGTTGAGGGTTTACTGTAGGGGCTTGAGAAATATTCGTATAGTATACCTCAAAACCCTATTCTAACTATTAAGGCCCCTAGATTAGGATCCCCAAAGCAAGCAGGCCTTCAGAAATCAAAGTTTAGGCTTCAGGAACAGCCATTCCCAAACTTCTGCGAGGCACCCTCAACCCTTGGGCCCTAAACCCCTAAACCCCTAAACCCTAAACCCCTAAACCCCTAAACCCTAAACCCTTAATCCCTGAACCCCTCAACCCCTAAACCCCTAAACCCCTAAACCCCTAAACCCCTAAACCCCTAAACCCCTAAACCCCTAAACCCCTAAACCCCTAAACCCCTAAAACCCTAAACCCCTGAACCCCTCAACCCTTGGGCCCTGAAGCCCCCAGACCCTGAGCCTGAAATCCCGAGATCCCGAAAAACCCACTCTACACCTTCACGGACTTATATGGGAGTTTCCGAAAATTCGGGGTACCCTTATTTGGGGGTCCTTATAACAAGGATCCTACTATTCAGGGTACGATATTGGGGTCCCCTATTCTTCGGAAACCCCCATATCAAGGATCCTTCAAAGGAGATTCTACCGGATACGTTGAAGGAGCAGCGAAGCACCCGCCTGCTCAGACCTGCAACGTCTCCAACAAGCCTGGCCTGACCCTTGAAAATGCAGGTCGTGGCCCCAGTTGCTTTAGGGGTGATTACAAGGGTTTCAGAAAGCATTCCTCTCAGGGTTCTACAAGGGTTCGTATGACGACCGCATGAGCTTGGCCATATTCCTTATGTTGACTCGTGCGAGCACTGTGTGCGATTCCGTTCTGAGGGTGACACGCATGTGATTCATAGTCTACTAGGTAGGGCTTTGGGACATTTTATATTTTCCCTTATTGGGCTTAAGAGGATCTTATTTACTAATATTTTTCAAAGGCTCTAAAAGCCCCACCTAGTCTAGAGCACAGCGAGCATTCTGCTTTTAACCGGGAGAGCAAGCGATGCAACCATGCAATTGGGCAACTATGCAAAGGTGAAGCTATGCGGTTACCATGACCCACACCCCGAAGCCCAGACCCTAAACGGTTTAGGGGCTATGGTTTGGAGTGCTGGGTTCCCTCCATGCTTCTTGCGTTCTGTACCTCTCAACCTTAACGTCCCAACGATGTAAGGTCCAGGGTTGTTAATGGTAGGGTTCCCCAACTGAAAGCCGGCAAGCCAATGTCGGGAGTTATCACGTGAGACCCCCTGTATACCTGTATCTTGCTGTATCTTGCCATAGTACAACCTAGAGACTCCAATACCCCTTAATTAAGGAATATACCTTAAATAAAATGTAGGATCCTTAATATGAATGAAGGAATATTCTTTAATTAAGGGATATTGGAGTCTCTGGGAAGATGCCCGCGAACCTATTCCAACTAGTCAGGTCCCCATGTATGGGCATCTAAAGTTCACGGGCAGAACGCTGTCATCCAAACATGCACCAACACAAGGCCTGGGAATGATATGGCTGCATATAACCCCGCGACATGAGCGACAACCAGCATGAACTTGCGCAGAAATCAACTGCGAATGGAACGTTGTTTGTTGTTGATGCTAAAGATCATGATGACGATGATGGTACAGACAAGGCTTTTCGTAGGCTTGATGGTGATGATGTAGCCAGCGATGACCACGAAGGTAAGGGTTGTGTTGGTCCATATAGGTCCTGACTTGGCGACCTTTGCGTGGTGGTGCTAGTGGTGACGATGATGGTGGTCAGGTTGATCCTCGGCGACAGTAGTGGTGAGAGGATACTGGTTACCAGGACAGGACAGATCATGACTGTGAGCGACCTAAACTGAAATCTGCATGCAGATCACGGTGAGGATGACAAATGACGGAGGTTTTCACAGATGATGAGGATGATCGCGATCATGGTGGTTTAGGGTTGAGGGTTCAGTTGATGCTGGTTGACCAGGAGTTCTGAGCTTGATCATGGTCGTGGCTTTCGCGACACCCTACGCCTCCAATATGCAAGCACGTCACTACGCTCCAAACCCGCAGGCCAACGCCTAAGCCCGAAGCCCTAAGCCCTAATCCCTGCGAGGATGAGAAAGAGTCATTGCCCTAAAGCACAACCCTAATCCCTCAACCCCAAAGCTCCAAACCCCCTCAACCAAATGTCAGACAGAGAGCAGTAAATGGGTGACCGTTTACAAACGGAAAACGCTGTCAAAGACCCTAAACCTTAAGCCCTTGTGTCAAAAACCCTATTCCTTAAGCCCTAAACCCAAAGCCCTAAACCCTTAACCCTAAATCCTAAGCCCTAAACCCTAAACCCTGAACCCTAAGCCCTAAACCCTGAACCCTAAATCCTAAACCCTAAACCCCAAACAAAAACCCCGAACGTTGCCAGGCGACTATGCTCTGGGAACGAACTTCCTGCCTTCGGACCCTGCGAAGGTGAAGGCGCTCCCCAAAACTGCAGTTTCTTCAGGGTTTAGGGTTTAGGGTTCAGGATTTGCCGGGTTTGAGGGGCTTTTGGGCTTTGTCATTTTTTTGTGGTTCTTTTTAATTTTGTAGAGGTGTACGTTCTAGCTACGACGGGATCCTTGGTGTAGTTGAGCACCAACTTCAGTGCTGTGATCTCTGCAGATACTGCTGTAGCTTGTCTCTACGTTCGGTGTAGGTGTTGTGATGAGACCCTAAACCCTAAACCCTGAAATGGGACTAGGTCCCGGAGCAGAGCCCGGACCGGTCTTTTCATTGTAGGATGCTGCTTTTCAAGATTGATGTCATCTGATGATGTTGGCTTGGTGCAAGACCCAGCTGGGGTGCTTAAACATACTACAGTTACTACAGCGATAGCTTTACATGGGCTGCGAGAAGCCTCAAAGCACCGAATCCTAAACCCGCAGGCCGTTAGACCCCAAGACCACATGAACAGGCGGCTCGTAAGGGCTAGGGCTTGTCAGTAACCACCGATCATAAATCATAGCGGAAGAGTCCCGGGCAAGTCATCCTGGGTTTTCATTACTTGGCATGGGAAGTCCAATGTAATCTCAAAGGTTCTCCTTCTTTTGATACCGCTTAGAACTTGCGCAAGCACGTTTCTGGTAAGGTTTACGGGTGTGGGGTGTGGGCTTCAGGTTTTAGGCTTTGTGGTTCCAATGCACCCGGCGAAAAACCTCCCAACCTCCAGGAGATGAAGCTGAAGGAGCTGAAAAACGGCCGCCTGGCAATGTTGGCCTTTGGCGGAGCCATCACCCAGGCCGCTTGTCCTGTGTTTTATCTCCAATGCTGGCCCACACCTAAGCCCAAAAATTCCCAAAACCTTAAACCCTAAACCCTAAAACCCTAAACCCTAAACCCTAAACCCTAAACCCCAAAACCTTAAACCCTCAAAGCCCTTTGCCCTGGACCCCAAAGCTGACAAGTGCACCGCTCCCCAACATATTTCATCACCAAACCCTACGTCACCAACTCCTGAACCAGCCCCAAGCAGTTGGTGGCTTTTCTGGGTTTAGGGGATCGGGGGTAGGGTTTAGAGGTCGTTTCGGGGTTTCGGGGCTGTTTGTAAATACAGGGTTCTAGGAGTTAGGCGTCAGGGCACCGGAGAATGATCATTCAAAAGGCTGGTGACGGCTGCAGGGCTAGGCAGGACAGTCGGAGCCCAGAGAATCCTGAGGGGTTATGTAGCTCTACTTGGAGGTCCATGGGTAGGTATACGTGGGGTTATAATTAGGGCAACTATGGTTATAACCCCTATTACGGGACGTATATCCCATTTATAACTACCCATGAACCTCCAAGTAACCCCCAAGCCTCCAAAAGTTCCGGAGACCAACCCCTGGCAAGGCCACCCTCACCGGCAACGGCTTCCCTTGGCTCTACGCCCAGAAGGACCGGCATGAGCAAATTGGGGCTTTCCGAAAATAGGGGACCCTAATACAGTGCCGTAAATACTAGGATCCTTATTATAAGGACACCAAAATAAGGTACCCCTAAATCCTTATTGTAAGGACCCCAAAATAAGGTCCCCCTAAGTTTAGGAAACTCCCAATTAGGCTTCAAAGCTTCGGGGTGTTTTTTCGGTCTAGGAGGGCTTGCAGAAGGGTGTTAGGTCTAGCCATTCCCAGAGACTCCAATATCCCTTAATTAAGGATCCCTACTATAATTTAAGGTATATTCCTTGATTAAGGGATATTGGAGTCTCTGGGTTCTTGGGGGGTATAAAGCTTTCTATGAGGGTTTAGGGTTTAGGGCTGCTACAAAGGGGTTGAGGCCCTCTGCCTCCCAGGGTTTCTTACCTACGACGATTCTACGAGGCTTTCTGCTAAGGGCACAGGGTTTGACACGCCGCCAGGAGTGATCGTGGATGAAAGACTAAACTCAGGGCTTTGGGACTTTTGGTCTTCCAAGTTTGCACCCTGAGGCCTACGGTTGATTATAGAAATTCTATATTAAGGACCCCACACTATGGATTATGGTACATTCCGTATTACGGGGTTGAAATCATCAGTAGTAAAAACTGTACCCTAGCTTCAAGAGCTAGGGGGCTGCGTCCTGGGGCTCTTCAGTAAAGGCTAATCCCACACCCTCAAACCATGTGAAACCATATGGTTCCTCATACACCCTTATGCACACCTCTATGAAACTCGACAGAAACAGAAGCGCTGAACCGCAAAAAACCCGCTCTAACCCTGAACCCTTAACCCTAACCTTGAGGGTCGGACCCAACAATCGGGTACTAAGGTTTATGATAGTAATTTTGTAGGTGACTGTTTTGGAGAGTATATGATATTTAGGCACTTAGACCCTTAGGGTAACATAAGCCATCAATTCCAATGAGACCCCTAAACCCTAAACCCTAAACCCCTAAGCCCTAAACCTCGAGACCAGGAAGTCTCCGGGCTCAGCGCAGCTTCGGTGGGACCGGCATCAGGATCTTTGGCTGGGCGCAGGCCTCTGGTTCACTCGTCTTTTTTTTTGGAGGGTGAGAGGGGGTGTTTAGGGTTGAGGGCTTCGTTAGGCTGTTTGGGGTTTGGGGTTCTGTTTAAGGTGATTATGGTTTTTGTTAGAGTTTCTCAGGCTTGGGCTGTCTAAGATTCAGGGCTTGTTGGCTTTATCGGCTTTTAGGGCTCCGGGGTCTTTCGGGTGTCTAGGATGTTTACGATGTTCAGCGTTTTTGATTTCAGGGTTTAGGGTTTCATGGCCAAAGAAAACCGAAGAAAAACAAGCAAAATGGCAATAAGCCCGTGGTCAAACATACCAGTCGCCTTGATCTACCCTTTTTCACGTGTCAGCGTTGCTGGCAAATCAGTCGATATCTCAAGAGAAAGTGGAATGCCCCATGCGAGGGCTCGCCGCTTCGGGCTCGAAGCCGTACACGTCAACTTTGGCTTGCCTTGCAGACCGAGTCCCCTGACAACTTTAAGCTTGCTTTGGAAGCTTGGCAGGTCTCGCCCGAAGAGTTCAGCGCCCAGCTCAAGAGTTTAGCCGATCGAAAACGTAAGTGCTTGGTGCAACAAGGTGATGTTGAGAGGCAGCCTGGTCCCTGTTGCGCCCTGCCTCTGCCCCGTGGTCCCAAGCTGGGGGTTAAAGAGCGCCGCGCTTCTGCTAGACCTTGGGTGCCTCTCCCCTCGTTTTGGCCTGCCGAAGCCCCGGCCTTGGACAAAAGCCTTGCTGATTCGGCCTTCTTGCGCCTGGCAACCCGGGCCCCAGCAAAGGTTTCATGCGCATCACTTGCTGCAACACTGGTGGAGTCCCAGGCGCTTGGAGAGCTTTAAGCCTTCTCGCATGTGGCACCGTCTTTCTGTTGCAAGACACCCCCTTCACGCAAGCTGAAGCGGAAGCTTTCTCCAAGGCTGCTAAGCGAAGTGGCTATCGCATGCACTGGACCCCAGGTCGTGTTTGTGGAATGCGAAGAGTCGGAGGCCTTACCACCCTTGTTCCTAGCTCCATGAGGCAGCAACCTGGCAGCAATTTTCAAGAAGGTACGGCTCAATTGCTCTGCACTTGGGTTCAAGGCATAGCCGTGCTGAATTTTTACTTTCCTTCGGATCAACAGGAAGATGGTGCTACCGTCACTCATAAGACTGAAATAGGCCTGAGGCTCGCTGAAATCCCTTTCCTGGCAGGAGGGGACGCTAATGAGCTCCCTGAGCAATCTGTCACAGCGTCTGCGTGGCGTGGTGCTGGGGGTTCTGTCTTCAATGCGGGTTTCGCTACTCGTTGGGAAAGCAGCCGCGAAGTTGATTGGTTTGTCAGTAACAGGGGCCATTGGCTTAGTGAGCCTTGGCAAATCAATCTTGCCATGAGTGATCACATCCCGTTAGGCATTGATCTTCTTGGGACTGAAAGCATCCGCAAGCGCGGGAGGCTGAAGCAACAACCTCAGTGGCACAAACCGTCGTACTTGAGCACGGTTGAGTGGCAACGTCTCTTGCAACAAGAGTGGGTCAAATGCTCATCCAACCACCCGGCTTATGCAAGCCTCGCCACGCTTCTTGAGCAGCACGTGCCGGATGTGCAGCGTGAATGGGATGAGTTCATGACCCTCATGTCTGCTGTTTTCCATAACGCCACACGTGAGGCGTGGAACTCCGCCCTTGCCGGCCCTGAGAAGGATTCTCTCGCGCGTTCCTTGAAGCAGCCGGGAATCAAAAATGGAAAAGGCATACAGAAAGCTATCCATCAGTGGATCTCTGTCGCTTGCAAGACTGCGGGTAACCCCAAAGCTTCTGAGGGCTCGCGCAAAGTCGCTAAGCAGCTCGCGCGCCTGTACGAGGTCCGGAAACTTGCTCAGCGAGGCCTGCGTGAGGAGCTGAGGTATGCTGCCCAGAGCAATCCGATTCTTACCTTAGTCGGCAAGCTTTGGCCGGACGAGTCAGGCCTAAGCCTTGCCGAGGTTGTGCGCAGAGCTGACGTCGAGATAAGGCTTGGCCAAAATGGCCGCACCAACCAGGAAGAAGCTGACCAGCGCCGCCGAATTTCTGATTGGAAGCGCGACCTTAAGACTGGTGGCCTTGGCCGCATCAGTAAGTGCGTCAGTAGCAAGGAATCTCCGTCCATCTCCGTCAATGTCACTAAAGGCAGGCGTGTTGCTCAAGACGATGTTGCTGCCGCTAGCTTCATCCGCGAGCACTGGGTTGAGGTGCAACAAGACCAGGCCCGCAACTCCCAGCATTCCAGTGACGAGGTCGCTAGCACGCTGCTGCAAGGTTTCGCTGGCAGCCTGGAGAAAGAGAAACAAGACCCGCATTCATGGTCAGCTCCGACTCTTCAGGACTTCACAAGGGCCGTTCCGCGTAGTCTGGATGTGAAGAAGCTGGCGCCATTTTGCAAGATCACATGGTGCACACCAAAGGGGTGCTTGTCACCTTGGACTATAGCCAGTGCTTTGATCGGCTCGATCCGAGAGCTACGGCCTCACTGCTCCTGCAGCTTGGGTGGCCACGCAGTTTGATCGGCACGTTGTTGGTTGTTTGGGACCAGGGTCATAGATGGGTGCAATGGGGTGACCACACTGACCCTATACCCCTGAAATGCAGTGCCGCCCCACAGGGTTGTCCTTTAGCTCCAGGCTCTCCAGTGGCATCGCAAATGTGCAGCAACAGTTGAAGAATCAAGGCTACTCAGAAAGACGCTTGGAGAAGGCCATTACCAAAACCTACATGGACGATCGCACTTTTGTCTGCCCCAGCTGGAAATGAAGCCAGTTATCGGGCAAATGCTTGGTTCGCATTTTCTGACAATGTCAACTTGAAAGAGAATAAAGACAAAGCTCAGGCTTGCGGCAAGACCAGGGCTAAGCAATTGACTGTGCAGCGCCATCGTCCGGAGTTACTTTGGTCCCTGGGCCGCGCAAACAAGCCGACAGCGAAAGTCAAAGGCTCAACAAAGCCCTTGGGAGGATGCGCCTCCTTGCCATGATCAAGCTTCCTTTTGAGCGATTTCTGTCTTGCTATCGTTCGCTTGTCCTACCGGTCATGACCTATGGCTGGATTGGCAAACTCCCGGGACGTACCCGAAGCAACGAGTTGTTCTCTGGGCTTTCTACTGCCATTGGCACCCTGCGTCTTGCGAATGGCCGAATTCGCGAAGTTGTCTATGGCGCCAACACGCATCTCGACCCCGTCCTTGGCCAAAGGCTCTTTGCCAGGGTCTGTAGGCTCAAGACGTTGCAGGCCGTCACTTGGTCCAATGAGGCCTACACCTCAGTTGGCCTGCTTCGACGTTGGCTCAAAAAGTGTGGTTGGGCACCTGATGGGCCTTGGAGATGGAAAGCAGGCAGGGAACGGCTTGCCGTGATCCAGAACATAAGTCCCCTTGCAGATGCAGAAA